CTTTCAGGAATCGTGGGAATGGGTGGGTGGTGGTTCGGGTGAGAAAGTTGAGACGGACGAAATGAAGACAGAAGAAAATGAAAGATTATCTGTGGAATATTACTGCCTCAGCATTTGCCTAAGTGATCCAAGGAAACCACAGAAAAACTTGGACCAAGGTAGACGGACCCGGAATCGAACCGGCGTCCTCCCGAATGTTAAGCAATGGTCTAAATCTCTAGGCCATGCCGCTCGGTGGACACAGAACACCTTCCGTGTTATTTAAGGATGAAATTTATAAAAATAACCACCCGAGAAATTGAAGCAGCTAGATATTGATTTCGAAATGAGGGAGCTGGAAAGGGAGGAGTTTTCGGGAGACGGAACAGAAGATATCATCAGGCGGGTCGTACAAGAGAAAATCAAAGGAACATCCCCCTCGATTACCTCAGTAGGCGCTGGCTCGATGTAACAAGGTGTATCAGGTAGGCGTTGAGGCGATTTAATGGAAGAATTCGACTCTGATGATCACTACTCCAACGTCACCAAATTCCTGAGACTGATATGCTCAGTTCATGACATCATCATGTAAACATGGCAGGAGTAGAAAGTGTGCTTGCATAAGGAGTTCTCGAGACAGCATGACTACCATGACTGCATGACAGAGATGATGGAAAGACGGAATAATACCGATCAAACAATGACAATATATTATTACTAAAGGTAGTAGGCGAAGATGCAATCTTCTGTATAATTAAGGGACTAACCATAGGAGTTACGGGAGAACGCGTGGACATGTAGAAGTGAGACACCAGATTCTAAATTCTTTTGAGGTCTCGAGAGTCATAGATCTCCTAGGGCGTGAAGTCTAAGACGATGATCATTCCAACAGCTCATCCCACAAAGAAACAGACGACGAAAAAGAGCAAAAAATAAGGGTCCGCTGCTACAATAGCCAGAAGTTTGTAATTCATTTTAACAGGAACTGTCCGCATCTTAAATGTGACAGGGGCGTTAGTTTAACCAGTGTCAATCCTGGCAAAAGTAATTTCGTATGACAAGCAAAACAAACAAAATCAGGGAGTGGAGGAAAGAAGAAAGGTGTAGTGAAAGCAGACCGGTGAGTACTCTTTTGGATAATACATACAAAAGAATTGCTTTGATGAACAGGGCAGGTGTTAAGTGTATGTAGATACAGGATGTCATCTTAACTTAATGTCAGATGATCGCGCTAGAATTGCAGTTGACCTTTGAATCAACATTATTAAAAGGATATGGCTAGGGCCGTCTTAACAATCCGAGCGACCGAGCGATTGTTCGGGCCGGCGTTTTTGGAGAGGTGGCCAAACCGGATACGGATTTACTTTTTTAGGTTAAAGATTTTGTTTTTACTTAGTTACTTTGTATGATATTGATAATGCTCACTTAATTCTATTACAATCGGAGATAGGAAAAGAATGTTTTATAATGTTGGTAAAGGATAGAAAGGCATCATTCACTAAAGAGACAAGAGAGGAAGATCCGTTCAAAGACATGTGGCTTAGCACTGAAGGCGAAATAAGGCGGTAAAATACCCCCGTATTCTGGAGGAAAATATTGCATTGGCGTCTTGTTGGGTGATTCGGCTAGTTTTTGGCGGCCCAATGCAATTTGCTCCCCTTAAATTTTTGTAGATGAGCAAATCAGGTGTTCAGACGGAAGCACTCAAATTATGATGACGAACTTAAGTCCACAACGGCTACAGTAGAACAAAGGACGAATGGTAGCTAGAGCATTGAAGTGCAAAAGGGCGGATAAACAAGAAGTCAGTATAAGAGGAAATGACTTGCAAATCAGCTAGACCGATCGACTGATGAATGGTTCTTTACAACTTTAGATATGGCGCAAGGATATCGTCAGGTATCTATCTATGCATCTAAATTCCATGATAAAACGGCGTTTGTCACTCCGGGTGGACAATATATGAGTATACACATGTTCTTTAGGGGTTGGCAAACTCTCTGGTAGTGGTAGTTAAACCATATTAGAAAATGTACTAGACTTGATATGAGAGGCGGATTTTAAGCTAAACATGGTGGAGTGCCCTTTTGTTAAAACTGCTATTGAATGTTTAGAACGTGAAGTGAGTAGACATGGAATTAGGCAAGGATTGAGAAAGGTGCGACAATTACTTGGGTTGGATAGGAACTTCCGTAAGTTTATTAAAAACTTTGTAACTTTCGTGAGTCCACTTACTCAGCTAATAAAGAAAGCAGAAGAATTATGTTGGAGTGAAATGGAGCAATTGGCATAAGGTGGAAGTTGAATAAAACGCAGCATGTAATGTCCACAGTCGCAACCCAGTATGGGTGAATTTAGTGGCTATTTCTGAGACAGATTGGTTTGGCGCACAATTCAATTGCAGAATGAGAAGGCTCAGGTAATCATTAAAGCGTTAGAACGAAGTATAGTTGACAATGATGTGAGATCGGTAGTTAAGGTGGATGGTGGCGTTTTATGATACGTGGCAAGTGAAGATCAAATTTAACTTACTGCACAAACCATATGATGATATTGGGCATCATGGATTCAGAAAATACCTGGAACTTTCTAAGAAATCATATTCGTTTATTAAAATGAGGTGTGCAAGAAGTACACGACATTCTGTTTGAATTATGCGTATGCAGAAAAGGTTCATGGGCGAGGTGAAAAAATTCTCCTTTCGTCTAAGAAGCAGGTGGTTCAATTAGGCACAATATACGTAAATCATCTAGTTCCCTTTATCAAAAGTGTAAAGCGAAAAGGTTATTTGCGGGTGATGGTAGGTTCATTTACCAAATATACAAGCGCCAAGTCCCCAAAAATTGAGCTCAGTGGAAACTATTGAAACGTTAAGAAGGATGTTTGACGAATTTTGGTGCCCAAGGCTAGAGGATTGAGAGGATTGGCATTTACTTGCAGAACGTTTGCTAGCTTGAATGAATTACGAAGGGCATCGAGCATGTGGGGAATGCTATTGCTACTCCTCGGGCGAATGGTCAGTGAGAGAGACAAAACTGCACAATACTTGATACAATTACGGCGAGTTGGGACGAACAATTACCAGAAATTTTGTGGGGAATCAATCAGACAATAAATACCGGTACTGGACTTTCCCCAGCGATATATTGTTCTCATATCAGAGTGGGCGAGTAGCAGATCAGAGATCGACACTGTTACACTACGGCGAAAGCGCTCGTAAGATGTAAGACGGATGAGAGATTGAAAAGGGTGACAAGTTAAATGAAGGGAGATATGATGAGAGACGAAAAATTGAAACCGAATAAGTAGGTGATTTGGTATTGTAGCGTCAGGCAACTGCTATGCTAGGAAAGAAGGGTGTTAATAGAAAGGGGTCGAACAAATATGATGGCCCATGCAAGATTACAAATGTATTGGGTAACAACAAATATAAATTTGCTCCATTACAAACTGTTAAAAGCTACAAACTATAAACGATTTAAGGCTATTGCTGCAGTGGATACTCCGAGGCGTTATCAAAGTGATGCAGTTAATGTAGGTAATGAATCTAAAGATTGTTTAGGTAATTCCAATAGAGATCAGGTGGGCAGACAAGATCTGATTGATCTTCTAGAAAGTTAGGAGAGAGTTGTTTAATGACGAAGGCATTAAGAACTATTTATTTAGGGCATTAATGTTTCAAGATTACCTATTGAAAAGAAAATAAAACAAGATAAATGGCGATCTCTAGTGGCAACCGGTATTAGTTAAAGGTAAAAATCAGATATATAATGACATCTAGTGGAGAAGATCATACATAAATAAATGACAGCTGAATGGCTGATAAGGTAGGCAACGAGGTGATCGATAAATTTACCAGGAGCCGAAATGTTGAATACTTCCATGGGCGACAAGAGCTAACAGCTATTATCTATGGTTAACAGTATATATTCTTTAATCTATGGACAGGAGCTGTTAATATGAGAGAGAGGTGTTCTCTGTTTTGTGTTATTTAACGAAGAAATTAATAAAATCAGAAGTGCAGTTAGTTGAAATAAGTGATAATAAGTAAAATGCATGGATATTGGACAAGAGTCTCAAAGTATTAAGGCCAGCAGAGTTGGTAAAAGGAATTTTGAATGTTAACACTGAGTTCATAGTGGGAAACCTAGTGAGAGAGAAATAAATTATGTACTTTTGCAAGGAAAGGTGAAAGATATAAAAAACTACAAACAAAAAGAATGAATAAAAAGTGAGCATGTGAAGAAAAAAATTTGTGAGACACTGAAATAGGCCTGCATATAATAAAATGATAATGTAAATAAACAATACCAAATATGCGACAGTTGCATAAAAAATATTTAGTTGATACATAATTATTTGTATATACAAATTGTAAGTATATGAAACAGAAGATTTTTTACCTTGAACAAGATCTACATCAATGAGTTCAGTCTTTAATCGAGCTGACTTAGTTTTCACATGATTGTATCCTCTAATTATGTGTCTTTCAAATGATAATTCCCACTGCTGCTTATCATAAGTTCCAATCTTTTTCTGATACCTAAGGAAAGTATTGATTAATTAATGTTAGACTTCATAAACTGAAGAAAATAACAACTCACCATGCGACTGTATCCTGAACACCCATTTCATGCACCATCCACTTAAAACCCTTAAAACGTTTCAAGTTTACTTATAAGGTCACTTGCAGCTCAAACATATGTACCAAAGGTCACAATCATCACTTTATTTCCGATAAAAAAAGGCAATTAATTAACTGCCTTGTTTCAGTCATTTACTTATTTAAAGTTAATCTGGAAACGACATTGATTCTTCTAAAAAAACCTTGAAGTTGAAGGAATTGCGTATTAAACCTAACAAACAGCTGATTTTGACTTTTAGAGGAATTCATTCATGTAGAATGTAGTTAGACGGAGCGCATGTGCGTAATCTACTTTACAGCCTGCAAGTTTCGTGAGACACCGACACACACCTACTTATTTCCAGTGTTGTCGATAATACTTTTCTAAAAGCAAAAACAAAAACTTATATAAATTCAAGTTTCCTACAAATTTATTAATAACTTAAATTAAAGCAGAACATTATTCATTCATATCATTAAGTGCATGAAAAAGAATTTGACTGAATTTAAAAAGATTATTATCCATCACATATTTACATTTCACATATTAGGCTAGGTTGGGTTACATTAAATCAACTAAAAAGTTATGTAGCTCATTAATTGCGTGATTTTAAAAAAATATATCTTTTAAACAAAATTTAAAATACTTAGTAATTGTGCACTCATATATAAAAATGAAAACATATTAATTAATGAATAAATACTAGTAGATTTAGATTTTGACTAAGACGTTTCTCGGATGTCAGTACTGCCAAAATGACAGTTTTTAATGACATACTACAGAGCCGTGCTTTATTTACAATTTAATCAGGATAATAAAAATTATCCATAGGTCAATGACTTTGAATTCATATTCAACTGCCTACTAGGTCCTACTAGGTAGTAGCACCAGGTGTAATAAGTGTAGTAGTGTACAACTTTTATCCCCTCCGCTAGTGGCCTTGCAGTGGCATCGTTGCCGTTCTTTAATTTTTAGACAACAGTAAACAGTTCCCGAGTTCGAGTTGTTTTAGTTCGAAGTTGGAGTTAGTCGCGTGTATAATAATAGTTAAATCCGGTGAGTGCCTGTCTGTCGGTACTGATTTGTGTTTAATGTCAAAATGACGAATTCGTACTATGAAGGAAGTAAAATGTTTTTATGGCTGGCTAATCTAACAGGCATTAATGTTGACCAGGTGAGTGAGAATACCTATCTCCTATTTATAAAATTGTTCTTTTCTATTATTCCTATTGTCGGTACTCTGAAAATCGTGGACCATTTTATTGATCGCACAATTGTGATATTTTGTATTAGTGTTTTCCTTTTAAGAAACTATTAAATAATATACAACTCGTCGAAAGCCAAATGGTATTTGTATCACCCTTATTTTGTAATTAATGTAAAAAACATGTATAGCAGAAGTTTGAAATCTCTTATACTAATACTGTAGGACGATCTGTGTATATAGTGAAATTTGTATTGAAATTCTATGAATTGTTATTAAAATTTACATAAAATAAATTACTGTTAGATAAAACCCTTTGCTACTGTTTTTATGTAATTGTAACTTCTATTCAACCACCAATTGTCTACTTATGTACTTACAGCATTCAACAAGTTGTTGCTTTTAAAATATAGCTAGGTACCGATGTAAATGTGTACAGTGTATTGATGTAGCAAGGGAACTTTACAAATCTATATTCGTATGGGCTTTTTGGGCTGCAGCCCTAGATCCCCATGTATATTAAGGGACCTCAGGTCAATAGACAACTTTGTGAATTATAAAATAAAAAATAATCTGAAATTTCCTTCATAATTTATACCTACCTATAAGTAACTTGTTCTACGGTATCTGTTTGTATATCTAATTATAACCCATGATCATCATGAGGTCGTCAGTCCTAAAACTGGCTGGACACGCACTTTCACTTTTTCCAAACTGAGCTAATCTTTACATTTCCCTAAAACTAGAACGTACCACATGCTTAACTATTTGTATACAGTAATCTAAACCAGGATTACCTCTCTTTTTTTTAGCTTCTGTTTCTGCTTCCAATGTCTCTAAACTAGCCCTTCATGAGCTTGCGAAGGTGTCCTACCGACCTATCTCGGCAATATTGGAGAAATAAAATATTTTATTGTTGTAATTTTTTCCTGTACCTATACATCATTAAAGAAAACATTTTTTTTACAAAATAGCAATTAGTTTGATTAATTAGGTAGGTAGGCCCTCAAGGAGTGCTAGCCCATGCACCCACATCCCCCCCACCCAATTCACGGTCTTCTAAAAAACCGTCTTTTATTTACAATTCCACTTTGTACATAAATATATTCCTACCTACCTAGATAGATATGATACGATATAGTAAGCAGGATGTTTTGATATGTGTCAGGGGTCAAACGTGTGTCCGCAGTTTAGCTTTCAATACACCTACATATAGTTGCGACGTTCGACATTGGTGTAGACGGCAATAGATTATCCGAAAGATCGGACATATCTTGGAACTGTCGTCATTTTCATTTCAAACGTTGAATTTTGTTTAAAATCTGATGCAACATGCTCAAATTCTGCTTGTCTACATCTCTTTCTGTTACACATCAATTGGTGTGATGTTATTCGTTTTTCTTTATTAGTGTCTGCTGCAATTCCTACCTGACATCTCTTTTCTGTGTTTACGATATTCTCTACAACGTCTGGTCTTTGGTTAGTATATTGAAAGAAGGAACCAAATACAACAGTTTCATTAGTTTCATTGCGGACTATGCCAATTTTGAATGTCTCAACTATAGATGCCTACTTTAATGTATGTTTTCATATATAAGTATGATTGTAACCTTGCGATATTTTCTATTCCAAATTTGTAACCTTGGGTGTGGCTATATATGTATAGGAATGTGTAATTTGCATTACTATAGTAGGGTTCATATTATAGCGAGTATCTACCAAACTTGTAAAAAGAAATGTTTGTGTAATAAATAATGGCGTAAACTTACGTCTGCCTGACTATTAAGTTTGGAAATGTACCTAGATACAGGACTGTAGCGAGATTATGCAATCAGAGCAGACGGTAAGCTGAAGATTTCCACATATATCTACATATTTCGCAATATTTTTGTTAGGCACTTTTGTTTTTAGTAGAAACGTAAGTGTTATCTAAAATTGATCACATTGAAACACTAACGTTTTTAGTTACTCACATTTTTGATCCTGAGGAGTTTTTGTATAGACATGATAGCAGAATCCACATGGAATTTTATTACTAAAAAGAAAAGAAAAGGTTAGAAGCGTTCGAAATGTGGTGTTACAGGCGAATGATGAAGATACCGTGGATAGAGAAGGTTAGAAATGAAGAGATATTATAAAGAGTAGGAGAACAGAGGACTCTATGGAAGTCAATAAGAAATAGGTGAGATAGGTTAGTAGGACACCTTCTCAGGCCCTCCTAACTTCCGTTTCTGGCTCTAATATGTCTCTGACTAAACCTTCATGCTTGAGAAGGTTTCCTACTAACCTATCCCGCCTATTTCTTATTGACTCCCATATATGTTCTCCTGTTCCTTCTAATACCTCTTCATTTCTAACCTTCCCTATCCACGGTATCCTCATCATTCGTCTGTAATACCACATTTCGAAAGCTTCTGATCTTTTCTTTTCCGCCGCGCCATTTGTCCATGTTTCGCACCTGTACAGCGCCGTGCTCCAAACATACACCTTTAACAATCCTTTTCGAATTTCCAAATTAACCGTTCGCGAGCATAAAAGTGACGAAGACGACTCGACCCTGCGCTATCCTCTGCTTTATATCCCTACTACTCTTTCCGTCAGGACTCGTCTGACTTCCTAGATACCTAAATTCAGCCACTTCTAATTTTTCGTCTACTATCTTTATATACTCTCTTTTTCTTCCTTTGCGTATCAGTATTTTAGTTTTATTGACGTGACAACGTCTTATAATTCGATGGAACCGGCTGCACGCACGAAAAAACATGACTCATGCGGCGTTACCTCGCTCTGAGGCGTTCCATTTAAGGCTTGAAGTGCAAGCGAGAGCGCGGAACGAGCGACAAAGAGGCACAATCGGCCTCCGCGTTCGGCAGCGTTCGACATCTGTCTCTCTCCTACTTGAGTGAGCGATGCGTCCGCGTGGACAGCTGCTATACAATAATACATTTCCATTTGCCTCCTTCTCTATATCCATACAAAATATCTATCAAACAAATAAAATTAAAATTTTCTTTTGAAAAATGAAACCATTCCATCAGTATTTTCTTATGACGTTGTCACGTTCAACTATCGTCAGTAAACCGACTTTAGAGACAACCGATTTTTTTTATTTATTTTCATACAGTACTGTTTTGTCAATACCGTTTCAATATTCAATATTATGTCGGTGTTTAGAATTCTTAAAAAATACGATAAGTATCAGATTAATGAACAATACTAAGACTTAAGAAGTAAGACCAAGACCTACACTGCATCCGGAAGACCAAGACCAACACTAGCACTCGAAGTATTTGTGCAAGAGCAAAAGACAAAGGCTGAATAATAGACAAGACCAAGACTGTCCCAGTTGTTTTGCTGATCACTATACTGTTTGCTTTGGTACTTATGTAGGATTAGATAAATAGGTATACATAGTATAGTATATAGTATATATATGCCATAATAAATTAGAGAGGCATTTTACGATTCCCTTTACTCTATACGAAGTCTATTATATTGTCAAAGTAGATTTTTATTACTTTTTTATTAGTCAATAGTGAGTAGAAATTATCTATTATTATGATTTCGTAAGCACTCACATAGATCCCTGGGTACACTTTTTGTAATTACAAGCACCTATAAACATACATAACGAAATTGTTTTGAATTTTTGCATATTTCTAGATAATTTTTTATTGGGTGCTTCAATTAATTTTATTTTTACTACTTAATTATATTTGCTGCCTTAAAAATCCCCCTTTTCGCCAAGAATACTTCTTGAGTCCGTTCCTGTAAACTATCATACTTTTAACATAAAAATTTAATTCAGGTAATTCCTTAAACTAAATCGAGCGAACCTATACGGTAATTTTGTTATTTTTAGACAATTAGGTTACATTAATTGATATTGTTGTTTCGCCAGAGCCGTAACGAATCATTGCGAATTATTAAATGCGGTTACAACTTGTTGCATTACTAACTAGCTTAAATTTGTATTTCCAGTGCATACTGAGATTGCAATGATAATAGAAGAAGTAAACAAACGTTTATTTTACAATATTTCATCATTATCATAATGTCATTCGTCCTAAGACTGGTTGGACACGGACCTCCACTCTTTCCTATCCTGAGCTAAACTTCGCATTTCTCTAAAACTAGAACAAGCCACATCCTTAACTATTTACCTCTACCCCTCCTAACTCTCTTATCTGACTTCCTAGATACCTAAAATCAGCCACTTCTTCTAATTTTTCGTCTCTTATCTTTATATTCGCTCATTTTCTACTTTTCTTCCCTTGCATACCAATATATTTGTTTTATTCTTATTTATTTTCATACAGTACTGTTTTGTCAGTACCGCTTTCATTTTATTTAAAGCTATCTCTAACTCCTTGCTAAATGCTAATACTGCTATATCTGCAAATTTAAGCATACTATAATCTTTTGCTCCTGTATACCTATCCCTACAGTTGTAGTGTCTTTAATGATGTTGATCACGTCTTCGATGTATAGATTAAAAAGTAGCGGTGACAGTGTCCCTGTGTGACTCCCTTTCTAATATTTATTTCTCTACGTTGCAGCCCCAGTTCTATAACTGCCTGTTGCTCTTTATACAAGCTCAGTTTCACTCCTTATATCTTTGTAACTTATCCCTATATTTTTAAGTATATTTAACAGCTTGTCCCATTGTCAAAAGCTTCTTCTAAATCTACAAATCCTATGTACGCACTCTCCTTTTTCTGTCGTTTTCTCTATTGTTATTCGTAAAGCCTCCCGCGTTCCTCTATTTCTTCCAAACCCAAATTGATCTTCCCCTAATAGTTCTTTTGTCCTTTTTTCCATTCTCCTCTGTAGAATTCTAGCTATGAATTGTTCTAAATCGCACCTATCCGCGCCTCTCTTTTTAGGTATGGTTGCTGCCACGTTAAATATTANGGACCTGGAATGAATAAAAACTAAAATTGCGTCACGGTACGATTCTGAAGGAAGGT